TGATTTTTGACCCTCCCCAAGATTTTTCATATTTTAGCACATAAATATTTAATTTAGGCCTAATATAGCTATTTCAACTCATTTGTACTCTTTTACTTTATTTTATTACAAGAAAATAAAAATTACAAAAAATAGGTTCATTAATGTTTTATAGTCATTTTTTTTAATCGTGAAAAAATACCAAAAAATAGTTTTGTTTTAACAGTCAGTCTTATTTTAATAATTATTTTTACTTAAGTAGGGCTAATTAATATTTTTGATAATATTTCTATGTGGATAAAGTTTTAGTTAATTAAGCTAATTTTAAGCATAGCTAGTCATAAAGGCCCAAGTTTCTGGCCCATTCCTTAAGTCCAATACCCAATACCCATTAAGCTAACCCTAGGAACCCTTCTAGACTCTTCTTTGGAACAAAAAATAAATGAAAAGACCCTAAGGACCTAAGAGCAATTAGCACAAAAATACACATTTAGACCTAGACCTATATAATAGGGGTAACACCTATCAGCTAGAAGAAGGAGGAGCTGAAGCGCCACAATACACAAAAAATATGACAACCCCATTTGCATTCCATTTCTCTTCTTCATCCCAGCAACAGCTTTCAGCAGCCTCACGCCTACCACACTACACACACCCATCAACAACCTCATCTCCACCACGAACCTATCCCCAAACCAGCCGTGAACCATCCATAAATCCATCGTCAAAACCACTATGAAACCTCTGTAATAGCAGCTTATGGAGTTACAGAATTTCATTTACAAAATCCCATGAAAATCAATCCCAATAACCAGCGAAAAGTAGCCATAGTAGCTCGTTTTCAGTTTGTTTGCCACCGAGTTTCCGGCGAGCTAGAGGTCCGTTGAGTTCCGTCGAGGTTCGAGTGTCGTCCGATGAGATTCCGCTTCACCGAGCGAGTTCGTTGATTGATTATCGTGTATTTGAGCAGTTATCAAAGAGTAAAGTGCATTGTTGAATTGCTGTTTGACACAGAGATTGAAAGGTGCGTTCATTGCTTGTATATCGCCGTAATGCGCATGGGTCTCAAGTCCATCCTCATTATAGTTTTTGCTGTATGTTAATATAATTTTAGTTTAGTTATCTCTGCATTACCCTTCTTGTTTTATATTGATTCATGTCGAAATGAGGATCGCTTTATCCATGTTGAGCTTTCCTTTCAAATATGTTCATCATTTTGCTTGAATGTTATAACAGTAGTATGCTAAATATCATATGTTTTTACAGTTTTAAAAGTTCAATTGAATAATGGACCTTATTGTTTTGAAAATCTCCAACGATTTGAATTTTTGGGAGAAAATGATATATGATTTCGTTTAAAATAATGGTACAATTTTTATGTTGAAGTTGTCGGATTCAGATTATAGTTTAACTTTAGTCTTCATGATTTAATTGTTAGTCTAATTCTTTAATGCACGCTTTACAATGGTCTCACAATTTGAGAAGAATTATGAAATGCGTAGTTATTTTAGGCGTGTAATTTAAATTACTTTCCTAAACTCGGGTGTGTATTTATGTGACTCAAATCCAAATCTCAACAACGTTAGATAAAATGTGTCGTGAACCGCGGGTGCATTTATGTGACATAGTCCAAGATGTGTTTTAGATGACGTTGAATCTTTCTAAAAAAATATCTAAATAAAAGCGGCTATAAAGTTAAAATTGAACCATAGGCTAAAATATGTATTAAAAATCAGATAATTAGGCCAATATAATAGTTGAGCGATCGTGGTAGAATCACGGAACCCGGGAATGCCTAACACGTTCTTCCGGGTTAACATAATTCCTTACCCGGATTTTTGTGTTCGCGGACTATAAAACAGAGTCAATCTTTCCTCGATTCGGGATTTGAACCGGTGACTTGGGACACCATAAATTATCCTAAGTGGTGACTCTGAACAAATAAAATAATCCTGTTTCGATTGTCACTTAAATTGGAAAAAACTCCCTTATACCCCTTTCGGGTAGTAAAAAGGAGGTGTGACACACTCAATGCCTAGAACTTGCCATGTGTGTGTACGAAGCGAAATGATAGTCTTAATTGGTCTGGAAAGTGATATAGGTGTTTCCTTGTTGAACCTATCTCTATATGTTTGCATCCACCTGATTGTGTATATTCTAGTTAACCCCTTTGAGCTTGTATTCCTGTTTCTTTGGCAACCACATTACAAGCCTTACCCAAGTTGTGAATTGTCTATCTTTTTGAACCCTATCACCTCTTAAAAGTACTTGAATTGTAATGAATATGGAAAAGTTAAAGCGCGGGGTGGTTGATTGGGCTTTTGAGTGGAGCTAATGAAATAAGAAGAAAGGTGCACTGTGTTAAAAAAAATAAGAGCACACTTGAATTGAAAAAAATAAATATTTTTCCTTGCTAAGTGGTGACTCTTGATGTAAACGTGCTTAAAGAAGTAGGGGGTGTAACTCAGTGATGCAAATATGGAATGAAGGTTTGACAAAGGTATGGGCTTAAAAGTGAAAAAAATATATTTAAGTGCTTAGGAAGGTGTAGTCACTATACTCATATGTATCCTACCTGTCCCGCATCTAACACTACAACCAAATAAAGTCTTACTTGATTCTAGACCAAAAGAGCTCGATTAGTAGAGTATTACACTACGGGCAAGTCTATGGTGCATTGTTTGTGGCATGAGAGTTTATTTCTGAGGGTGAGTGAAATCTTACGTATGTGAATTCCTCAGTGTGTAAATTATAATGACATGACACAAGTCTCTTTTGTGGTGAGTAGGCACGTGATTCAGGAAGGAAAGGTAAGTCTGGACCTCTGACTGAGAATATGAAAGCCGGTTAGGGACATTACGTAGCTAGAGAGAGAGTCCACTCTTGAGGTTAGGAGGTTACGCCAAGGTAGTCTATCTATGTGATTCTTGGTATAAGGAGTAGGGAAGTAACCCAGTGATGATTAGGCCTATAGAGTATGGTTTTGTTGCTATAGGACTAGCAACAGTTTAAGTGTGGGGTGTTGATAGTAGCCTATATTATATGATGTAGATGCTATTTATGCTAGAAGTTAATCATACTTTATTGATGTTTTAAGTGTTAAATGATAACAAAATGCTCTAATTGAGATTTTTATGCTTTGCAGGAACTACTCCGAGTTAGCAGGAGGATATAGAGTGTTTTGGAGTCAATTATGTAGATACAAGGCCAATTGAGAAGAGCCCGGATGAAAACGAGCAAGAAAAGGCAAAAAAAAACTGGGTAATAGTCCACCGCGACCGCGGTAGGGCCGCGGCTAGAACGCGGTGAAAGAAAAGCAGAAAACAGAATGTTTAAAATGACCGCGGTCGTGCCGCGGTTGGCCCGCTACCGCGGTCGATCTGAAGAAGACCAAGAAAGTTTAAGGGCTAAAGTATAAAGTGTGAGAAACTTATCCTAACCCTATATAAACTCAACAAACTCGCCCAAGTAAAAAAAAAAGCTTGTTTTTAGACTCAATTGGAGGCAAGAACAAGTATAAAAAGATAAAGACACCATTAGAGTTTTAATTCTTCTTCTTGTTATCATTATTTTGTGAATTATGAATGATTTTATGGTTTTATCTTGTTTTACATGAGTAGATAAACATTTAATCTAGGGTTGATGGAACCAATTGTTAGATAAAGTTTTGACTTAGTTTTGTTATAATCGAGTCGGGTTTATTATATGATTGTTGAACTATATTTTGTATGGTGATTAATTGAATGGACTTTTGATTAATCGTGTTTAATTGCCTTGTGTTGCTTGAGAAAGAATACTAGGTTAGATTGTTATTGAACAATACCACTTTTGGATAATTAAAGAGATTCATTACTTGAATTTAAAAGTGGGGTTAGAGATAACGAAACTTTGGTGGGATAATTCAGAGCTGCATAAATTATCAGCTAGAGTAGTTCCAGAGAATGCTCTAGTAAATTATCGTAGTTGATCGAGAGATAATTGCGATAACCCATAGCTCATAATCCTCATAGAGTATTACGGCGAGATTATAGCAAAAGAGTTAAGAATTAAACTACCAATTGGGGAAATCAATACCCTAGATCTTTTTTACAATTGAATTATCTTTAATTTGGAATATTGTTAGTTTTAATATCATTTTACTTTAGTTAAATAAAACTCAATATTTATTGATAAAAATCTTGCATCTGAAAATTGTTTGAGCTTGTACTAGCATCACTAAGAGTTGTAATAGATAGGTTAGTTCCTTGAGGATTCGACTCCAGACTTGTAAACCGGATTATATTTGCAACGACCGCTTTGTCTTTTATAAGGCATAGTTGGGCGTGATCAAAATATAAGAAGGTATAAGGGTGGTATAAAAATTTAATACTATCTTAATACTCTGTTTGGTTAGCAAACCATTTGACACCGGGATAACTTATACCTTATAGAAGGTGGGGTAATTAGCACCAGTATAACTTATACGTTCTTAATAGAAATTATGCAATTGTCATTCTTAATACAACATACCAAACAATGAATAAACAACAATCCCAACATAATTAATCCCAGCATAACTTATCCCAATATAACTTATACCGGCATAACTTATACCGGCATAACTTATACCGATATAAATCGTATTCCAACCAAACGACCCAAGTTATGCTGAGATTAGTTATTGACTGTTTGATATCTGTTTTATTAATTCTGAAATTGTCGATTTTACTGCTTTATCCAGGAATCTTAATTTTGGGATTACGATTCCACCGTTTAGTAGATATAAGTTATCCCGGTACTATTTTTAATTATGGGATAACTTATCTCAGAATTAATAATCAACAAGCAATAAGACAGTACTAAATATTTACCTTAGGATTATTTTGCTTATCCATCGTACAAATCAATACCCAAGAAAAATGGAGAAACATGAAATTTATGTTCCTAAGACTGAGCAGACACTTTTGGCAGTTCCCTTGTACAGAAGGGTCATTCTGTCCCTTGTGCACCACAGAAAAAAGGAAACTGTATGTACTCCATATAGCAAATTGTGTCTCCTTTTTCATCTCTTCTCAAATACATGTCCATTTGTCACAATTACTCATCCACTTTGAGAAAGCAAAGATAGCAAATTGTTAAAGCACTAAAAAACCCAACATACTCATAAACTATCTTCATTTCTTTCCCTCACGCTTCTCATCATCATCTTTTATCAACTCCTTTAAAAATTCTTCAATTGCAACATCTTCTCCACAACCTGCGATCTGAGAAACAGTTTCTGGAATACTAATAAATAGTCATTCTTCTCTAAATGCTTCAACTTTTCCATCTTTTCTTCAATCTTTTAGCTGCAAAAGAGATTCTTGGGTAATCAAATACAGGCCTTTCTTCAATCTGTGATCTGAGAAAAAAATTTTGTAGTAACAAAACAGAGTTTTTTTCTTTTATGAACTCACTTGAAATGCTTTAATAGTTCCATCTTTTTGCTCACTCTGAGCAGAAAACGGTTTTTTTTTTTTTTTGGGATAATGGATACTAAAAAAATGTCAGAATTTTAACACTTCACATCAAGAACTCTGGTAAATCCTCTAAATTCTACAATTTGTCTATCTTTTCTCTATCTGTGAGCTGAAAGACAGCTTTTTGGGTAAATGGTACTGAAAATTTTCAACTTTTAATGCTTCTCATCCTGAATTTTGATGAATTTCCTTAAACTCTTAAACTAATCCATCTTTTTTCTCAACCTGTGAGCAAAAAGATAGTTTTTTTTTTTGGGTTAAAAAATGTCAACTTTTGAAGCTAATAATGCTGACATAGAGAGAAATGGGAGTAACCGGAATGGTAGTTCCCGCCGTCACCGCCGCCGTAGACGTCGCCGGCGGCCGTCAATGGCGGCAAGCAGTGAGACAACAACTACAGATGGGAGTCTCAACTTCACTGATTCAGACTCTGACCAGTCTTGGCACTCACCTTTAGGCTCTATGGCTGGTGAAAGTGAGGGTATTTTGGTAAATTGTGAACCACAGAGGGACAACAAGCAAAAAAGAGGGTCATTCTCAGATGAGGAGATTGATTTGGAGAGTGGTGAATTGGAGTTGTTGAAATTGCATAATAAAGAAGAGAGGGATTGTAGGATTTGTCATTTGAGTTTGTTGAAAAGTGGTGGCATTAGTAGTAGTGGTGGAGATCAAGTGCAAGAGCATTCTATAGAGATGGCTATAGAATTGGGATGTTCTTGCAAAGGTGACTTAGGTGCTGCTCATAAACAGTGTGCTGAGACTTGGTTCAAAACCAAAGGAAACACGTGAGTACTATAACTCTCTCTCAATAGTCAGTCTCTCTCCCATTTTGTAGCTCCTTAATTTTAGTTTGTGTTTCGGTTGCATTACATGGTGTTTAGGAGTGGAGTCTTGGCGTAACAGGTAAAGTCGCTGCCATGTAACCAGGAGGTTACGGGTTCGAGTCGTGGAAACCGTCTCTTCTTACAGAAATGCATGGTAAGACTGCGTACAATAGACCCTTGTGGTCCGGCCCTTCCCCGACCCCGCACTATAGCGGGAGCTTAGTGTACCGCGCTGCCCTTTTACATTACATGGTGTTTGTTTTGTTAGAGACAGACTTGTATGCAAGTATTGAATAAGTGAAAAATTGACCGGAATAGAGTGGAACAAATATAGAGTAGCCAATGAAGGGCAGAGTTACCTTGCCTGAACAGGGTTCAATTGATTCACCTTTTTTTAGAAAGTTATATTGCACAAGTAGGGTAAAAATAATTTTCTTTTGTGTATAAATAAATCGTTGTATCCTATTAAACATAAGGAAGCTTCTTGTGTAGCGGTAAAGGTGGCAAAAAAAATTTCTTTAGATCACATGTTCAAAACCCAAATGTGGTGTTTTTATATTTCTGAGATTCCCTTGTGAGAATTCCGGGTCCGCCACTGACAACCAATCCCAATATTAGTGTAGGATTGACGCGTATTTGATTGATTGGTTAATCTTCTAATAGACTTGCATGATTGGAATAATTTTTATGTTTAAGTGAATCCTTATAATCTGCTTGTGAAGTATAATTTGTGATCTATTTCTCCTAATATCTGATGTTTTAGTGAATGTGAGAGACTCCGGGGTACTTTTTCCATGGCGCCATTTTCTCAATACCCTTTTCTTATTACATACTCTATGTGAACCACAAGTCGACCATCCTCTCTCTCATTTTCTAACTCTCTCAGTAGTTCCTCCACCTATGGTGCATCCATAGAGATATCCAATAACATTACAGTTCAAGAACCTGATAACAGTGGCGTGGTTTGTTTCAGTTCAGGATAAGTTTGTGAATGGTCATTTAATTGTTCGGTCGTGGTCTGGTATAATCCTCTCTTTATTTGAGCACCTGGATTCTGTTTTCTTCGTGGTAGCTGCTAATAGTGATAGAAGCACTGAATTTCTCGAATCTTTGTTATTTAACTGTCTCCTGCCAAGAAAGATTATGTTCGGAATTCTTCTGCATACCAGGCATCAATAGCAATTGTTGTTATATTCGTAACATTTGGTTCTTCAGTACACAGAATTCTTGATTAGTACTACTATGTGCTGGAAAATTTACTGAAGGAAGCTGAATTTAAGCTGTTACTTTTGTCATTTTCTAATAATTTAAGGCATCATCAGAGAATATCAGCTCAGACATCTACCTCCATCTTCCTATATTGAACGGATTGATGCATTTTGCTGATGTTTGACTCTATGTCCAAATAGTTTCTGCATTGCTCGTCCACCATTATTAACGTTTCATGTCGTCTTTCTTTTGCTCTTTTTGTTGTCATGTGGTATCAATTAGAGTGCAATTCTGTACTAGGAGCCGATTGAATTATCTATGGAACGCACCATTAATCATCACATGTTTCCTTCAGAAAAATGGAAAAGTTTCTAGTCTTAGTTTTTTAAGGGCCTTTAAATTTGTTGAATGTTCTTTTCTCACATATAGTTCATTTATATACTTCTGTTTATCTACTTAATTTCTTGCCTTTGCTTCATGCAGGATTTCACTATATAGACGATTTCTTACTATAAGTCTCCTCTAGTTGCTTATATCCTATCTGATGTAAACTGTAATTCTTTTGTGAGCCAACATGAAAATGTGTGATCTGATATGCAATCATCTGCCCTTGTGTGTATAATAGTATCTCAATTTGTTTTTCATATGCTAATTTCTTATATGCGTAATTCAGAATCTGTGAAATCTGTGGTGCCAATGCACTGAACATTGCTGGAGAGCAGACAAATGAAGCCAATAACGCTACAGTTGCCAGTGTTGCAGCACCTGTAGGCCTTTCTGAAACCCGAGTCTTCTGGCATGGACGCCGTGTCATGAATTTCCTACTTGCATCCATGGTTTTTGCCTTTGTCATCTCATGGCTGTTTCACTTCAATATATTGCCCTAGATGCAATTGAAGATAATTGTCCTGGCAGCAAAGGTTTCTTAATTTGCTACTTTAAACAACTCCACCAGCCGGTAGAGGTATGTGTAGGCAGAGGAATACTCAGATATTATCTTGGTCGCACTAGTGTATGAAAGGTGGCGTGGTATCTGGTACAGTTGCGTGGAAGTATCCGGTATGGGTATGTCAAGTTTCTTGCTAATTTTTAGTACATTTTGACGAATCCACATGAGATATCCACACCCTTATCACACTCTCTGGACGCGGATGTGTCAAGACAAATGAAGGACTCGCATAATATAGGTGTATCGAAAACAGCCTCTCTACCCCCTCGGGGTAGGGGTAAGGTCTACGTACACACTACCCTCCCCAGACCCTGGGAATTCACTGAATCGTTGTTGTTATTGCATAATATAGGTGTAATGGTATAGGCCATGCTGCAAACATATCGGTTTCAACCATTAGCTTCTAAATATTGTTCGCCGTGATGATTGTTTTGCTAGAATGTAAGATAGTTTTGTTCATCAAAACCTCTTGATGAATTTAAAGTTCTTCCCAGCTAGTGTACGTATGTAAGTATATGTATAGAAGTACGGCGATAAGGTATTAGCATTCTGTTGTATATCATCCTTCAAATTTCTGTACAAATATCTCACGGCTCTTAGTTGAATTGTAGCTATGTTAATCCCAGCTGTATGGTTGTTGCAATCAACTCTGTTAACACCTGAACTTTTTCTTTGTCTTCGGGCCACCTTGGGCTCATTTGGACTATTCTACGAGGTCAGCACAGATATCGGGCAACTATGCCCACCATGGTTTAGGTAGATAGGAAGAAAATCACCAATTGTGTTAGTGTGTATCCATGTAAGTTTTATCATTACAAAAATTGCAAGCTATGTGGAGAGCTGGTGCTTCATATGGTGAAGAATTTAACATGTATGATCAGGCTGAAAATAGATTTTTAGATAGAATTTAAGGTATATATACGGATAAATCTAAAAATTTAAGGTATATATACGGATAAATGTAAAAAGAATTTTTACATAATCAATGTATTTTTACCTATTATAGCAAGTTATTTACAATTTATTCTTAGTTATCAATTAATGCTTATTAAAGTAACTTGCAATTGAAGGGGAGACTTGGAGCAACAGTATAGTTGTCTCCGTGTGACCTATAAGTCACAAGTTTGAGCCGTGTAAGTAGCCACTAATGCTTGCATTAGAGTAAGATGCTTTGAGCACCGGACTACCCTTTCATAATAACTTGAAGTTACTTTTCAAGTGACTTGAATGTGTAAATATTTTGACACTTTCAGTACGTAGAATATGAATGATGGTTTCAAATATACCTTTGGATGTGAATTTAATTTGTCAAAGCAAAGGATGGTCCCAAATTCTCTCAGATGCTACGCAACCTTCATTGACCAGAATCATTTGCTTTGTGTTTGAATTTGTTTCACTGCTTTAGTATAATTATTATTATTACTTTCTAATATTTAGACAAACCAAAACTGGAGCGGACACAATTCTCACTTCAAAGGCTTTGGAACATAACTACTCAAATGGAAAACGAAGACACAAAATTCTTCTCCTTACACCTTTTTTGGCATAGGAAAAGGAACATCATAGCATACTGGTTCATACATGTAGCTCTAATCTTTGACAAAAAAACATTTCTCCTTACAGCAAACTGTATACACTTTTACGCGAAAGCAAGCTGATAAGAAATCCATTATTCACAAGCACATAAACTAGAACAAAGAACTACTACTTATAGCAAACTGTATAGGCTAGTAGTGATAATCCATCGCGACCAATGTGCAGATTAATATTTCTGAAAATGTTGGTTTATGTTTAGTCAACAATGGCATGCTGAAAATGTTGGTTTATGTTTAGTCAACAATGACATGCCAATTGGAAGAGTTGGTGGAAAGAGTTGGTGTGGATGCTAGGAGGAAGCTTCCTCCTTTGATGTCACCAATGACATCAAGAGGAGGTTTTTACCTCTATAAATAGATGCACTCCTTCACTTGTAGAAATCATCCCAAAATAATACAATACATTGTAGTGAGTAGAGAGTTAAGAGAGAAATTCTCTTAAGTGTAATTGGGAAATCTCCCCTTCCTTTGTTAATATTAAAAGGGCAATTGTTCTCTGGTGGACGTAGGATTATTTTNCAATGACATCAAGAGGAGGTCTTTACCTCTATAAATAGATGCACTCCTTCACTTGTAGAAATCATCCCAAAATAATACAATACATTGTAGTGAGTAGAGAGTTAAGAGAGAAATTCTCTTAAGTGTAATTGGGAAATCTCCCCTTCCTTTGTTAATATTAAAAGGGCAATTGTTCTCTGGTGGACGTAGGATTATTTTGATCCGAACCACGTTAAATCTTGTGTTCTTTCTTTTACGTTTCCGCTAACAATTTCCATACAAAAAAGGTACATTCTTTATGTATCTGAACCTAAACTTGCTGATATTTGCACAGCCATAGATAAGAAGACTACCCAATTGGCAGTTGATGTGCGCAACAAAAGCATAAGCATTATCGCTAACAATCTGATGTAACATCTTTACGGGATAAAATGATTCTGCAAAAAGCAACTTTTTGTGCAGATATGCACGAAACAAATAGAGCACTCACATTTAAAAGTCTCGTTGTGTTTGAAAAAAGTGACAATTTTACTAGGATAAAAAGGTTATATAAACTTTACGTCAAAATCATTTCTTGAGATCCACAGCGCTCAGACCTTTTTCGGTTTTAAACGTTGAAATAGCCTGATCAAATGTGCCTCTAACGTGCTGGCAGATAAGCATTAGATCCTGACATGAATCATTCAATACCTCCCTTGCTGGATCCCCTGGAATAGAAGCCAGATAGACCACCAAAAGTTGCAGAAGATTTTAAGGTACCAAACTTAGAAGATACAAAACATTTCTCAAAATGTAAGTGTATACAAATATGGAAGCATAAAAAGGCTACTGCAAATTATGTTAAAGGATTTCCAAACGGTCGTATTATATGATGTATATAGATTAAGCATGTTGTAGCAATCTCTAACAAAACAATCTACTACATGGACTAGATCAAATAAGCTCGCAAAAGGAAATATATCAACAGGAAGGGCATCAAGATATTTCTCCAACAAAACAAACTGGCCAAAAAGTGATACCAACCAACTATTGATTAACAAGAATGATCCTGAACAAGCCATTTAGAAGTCTATGACGAAAGTTTTAGCAATTATCAAGCATGTTACATTAGTATGGAAAACGGATGTCAATTTGAATGATAAATAAGAAGCAAAAAAAAAAATTTGAAAAAAATATCAGAAAATCTGGTGACAAATACATGAGGGAAGTGACACAACCTCTAAAAGATTACCCCTGTATTCCTATCACGAGAGAAATATTTAAGCTATTTTTTTATAAGGTAAAAAACTGTTAAGTGTAAGTGAAAGAAATGTTTAAGCTTTTCTTTTTTACAAGTAAGAGAAACTGTTGATAAGGATAAATTTGAAAATTATTTAAGCTTTACCTGTAGTCTGAACTCTTATGTTTACTCTAGCATCAGAGGGATGTGGAATGCTGTAACCACAGAATGTTACTCTGGGACTGCAAGAAAGTAAATATCAGTTAATCAATGTCCTAAGCTTGCCGCAAAAACCACTTTTTTTAAAAGCTAGGGAAGAGACAAGATTAACAAAGATCAGCAGTATGTAACAAAATGAGATACAGAGGCCATCTATTTTACCAGTGGAGTATTAAATTTCAAGCAAAATTCTATAATATTATTTATATCAGGAAAAAAAAATAGTACTTGTAGTGATTACTGCATAATGAAAAAAGAAAGAAAAAAGGAAGAGATGAATTACTAACTCTTGATTTAAAGTGAATCGGATAGCATTTGCCAGCGTATGGTCCTCATCTGTCAATGAGAACGTTGCTTTTGATGGATCTTCGAATGAACCATGTTCCATTGACTGTTTAAACAAATGAGGATCATTCAAAAATTATTGCCAAATTTTCAGAATTCGAAAATAATGAAATTTATGTATACCAGGAAAAAAGAAAAGAGGAACCATCAAAAGAAGTGAGATTAGAGTTGTCCAATGGGTATGAAAGCAAACTTCTTTCATTACAAATGTTTCTACTGAATCCTGATTAGTGCTTTTCAGTGAACTATTATCTTAAGATCAAAACACACTGTAGTAGTAGTATTAGTACTATTAGAAAGCAGTCAAATCAGCAAGGACCTTAATGATGCAGTCCAATGTCTTAAAGGCCAAAGCATAAACAACAATGAATGTTCAACTGGTCCAAGTCACTGCTTCTAGCTTTTGTTTACATACAAGAATATTTGAACCTACAACAAGGGGGATGAAAAGAATGAAAGACTGCCAAAAGAATAGAAACTGCAGGAAACAAAGTAATCACAGACAGAATCGAAGTGGAAGAAAGTGCAGAGCCAAGCAAGCAATGCTCGCACTATAAAACTCAGGTTCTTTGCAATTATTTATCTAAATCAATCAAGTGATCTACCAACTGCCCCTCATTTGTAAACTAGTTAAGCTTGGATATATGAAGCTTCTGTATCCATAATCAGAGTTCATCATACTCGAGACTATATTTTTACTAGTTATCAATCTTCGCAACTCTCTTCCTTTATCTTTTTATTTTTTTAAATCAGCCGCAACTCTCTTTTTTGATCCAAGCTTGAGAATATGTTTTGTGAAACTCATAAAGGCATAATTAAATAAAATTTTATCCTTACTGCACAAATTAGTATTCCATCACAATTTTCAGCTATTATGACATATGAATTAAAAAAATGTTAACTTGTAAAATCAGAAGGAAATATCATATCAATGGGGTTTTATGTGTAGAAGGAGTTATCATATCAGCATCGAGACTTCCTTTTGAGAAATGAGAGAAAACAGAGCATTATAATCCAGTTAAGCACAACTCTTGTTTTTCCATTGAAAATCATTGGGGGAAAAAAAGGTTTCGGACAATAGGTGTTCATTGCGGAAAGAGATGGAAAGTAGTGCGTTTGTGCAAAGGAAGGATAGTGCGATTCTGAGGCTTAAAGCAGTTGAAATTCGTGGATATGTTTAGTTTATACCCAAACGACTAGAAGTAATTTCAGCTTCGCCCCAAACATCATTTGATTGGTAAAACGCATCACTTCAAATATAAGCATAAATTTCAAAAGGACTCTCTAATTGTTCCATTTAAAACAGTCTACTGTTTCATTTATTTCCCTACTCTCTGACTTCAAATAGTAAATTCCCATATGACCTTAAAAATCGATGATAAGGTCATTGATACTTCCACCAAAGTAAATAATTGTAAAATGCAAACTTTACCTTTTCCAACAAGAACAATACTAGCAAAAAGAAAACTTGAAAAGTTTAAACAGACATATAGACGTGCCAATTTAGACTCGGTGTCAAACCTAGAGTAAAATACAAGAGTTCTTTCTAGATTCAGGAATCAATGAAACAACATACAGCCAATTCCAAAACCAACTAATTCAAAATTTCGCCTTATTACCGAAGATTGTAAAATATAATCAAGGCAATTGAATCATTGAAAATCTTGATGCTTCACTGCCAGCAAAAGCTTAAATTTAGGTTGAGAAAAAGAACTATGAACTGAGAAGTGAATCAAAGAGGTGGCAAAGGACAGAGAGAAGAGTGTGGGAGGGACAAACAAGCAATAAGAAGACCAGAAAAATTAAATAGGCACATAGATGTGCCAATGTGCACTCACAACTTGTCTGGATGGTTGTTATGCATTGTTTCAATATGTATTGTATTATATTGTATTGTACTGTATTGTTTTGATGAATACAACATTTGGATACATTGTATTGTTCCCCGCCATTTCATAATGTCATGCACCAACAATTTGAATAATAAGTTTACAATATTACAAATAAAAGTAGAGTACAAGGTATATATTTATTATAAAAATGGGTAGAGTAAAGGGTAAAATATGATTATTAAATAATATTAAGGACAAAATGAGGGTAATAACGCGACCATACCAAATGGGACGTTATATAAAATGGAACATTTCATCGTTACGTAAACAATCAAAACAAATATTGTATCTAAAGTAACAACACGATACAATAAAATAAGTAAAAACAATGTCAAACCCAGAATAACACAAAATAATTCAATCTCCTTCTTCTGTTCTTTTCATATTCAGGAATCTATATCTTACTATTGTTACTACTTATTGCAATGTTTTTTTCCAAACTTTTCTTTAGCCGAGGGTGTACTGAAAACAACCTCTCTACCCTCCCAGGGTACGGGTAAGGTATGCATCCACACTACCCTCCCCAGACCCCACTTGTGTAAATTCACGGGGTTTGTTGTTGTTGTTGTTGTTGTTGTTGTTGTTGTTTTTTATATTCAGAAATCTGACTCAACAATATGCTGTAGCAAATTCCCATAAAGCAACTACTACAATTAATCTAAAATTTTAGCAGAATTGTCCAAGATCGCGAAATACAATTAAAAAGATTGAATCTTTGAAAAACTTTCAGAAACGAAGCAAAGGGAATTAGGAGGTGCGAGATTTCAGTAATGGGAGATAAAAGTAAACACTTACGACAAATGGGTACCTTAAAGGCGTAAACTTTGATTGAAAAAACAACTCTGAACTGAGAAGTGAAGCAAAGTGTGATGGCAAAGGCGTGAGAGGCGTCTGGTCGAGGAAAAACCTTTAACCCTTTCGAATACAGACAGGGCTTAGGGTTTAAGCGCGAATATGTTGGTTTGATAATAAATAGATTTAGACAATTATTAAGCTCGTTTAAATTGACTTTTTTCTACTTATGAAATGGTTTATACTCTTTTCAATATTTTGGTTCGATAGGAAATAATAAGTTGTTAACAATGTCAAAATAACTCTAATTATTCCTTCCACAAAATTAACTTTAACAACGGGTTGAAATTCAAAAATAGCCAGATTTACAACTGGTCGTTTAAAAATAGCCCAATTTCAAAAGTAATCAAAATTTAGCCACTTTTCATGTAAAGATAAATCTGAGCGAAAACACTATTCAAAACCCGGAAAATATATTAGTATATTATGCTGGAGTTCCAGCATAAGTATAATTGAACTCCAGCATGTTATACTGGAGTTCCAGGATAAGTATGTTGGAACTCCAGCATAATATACTGGAGTTCCAGCAAGTATACCGGTCCAGCATAATATACTGGAGTTCCAACAAGTATACCGGTCCAACATAATATACTGGAGTTTGGAGCACCGGTGCTCCAGTCTCCAGTATATTATATTGGAGCCAGCAAAGTATACTGGTCCAGCATAATATACTGGAATTCCAGCAAGTCTACCGGTCCAGCATAATATACTGGAATTCCAGCAAGTCTACCGGTCCAGCATAATATACTGGAATTCCAGCAAGTCTACCGGTCCAGCATAATATACTGGAATTCCAGCAAGTCTACCGGTCCAGCATAATATACTGGAATTCCAGCAAGTCTACCGGTCCAGCATAATATACTGGAATTCCAGCAAGTCTACCGGTCCAGCATAATATACTGGAATTCCAGCAAGTCTACCGGTCCAGCATAATATACTGGAATTCCAGCAAGTCTACCGGTCCAGCATAATATACTGGAATTCCAGCAAGTCTACCGGTCCAGCATAATATACTAATATATTTTCCGGGTTTTGAATAGTGTTTTCGCTCAGATTTATCTTTACATGAAAAGTGGCTAACTTTTGATTACTTTTGAAATTGGGCTATTTTTAAACGACCAGTTGTAAATCTGGCTATTTTTGAATGACCAGTCCGAAAACTGGCTATACCGTGCTATTTTTACTTAACAACGGCTGGAAAACGGAAAAGGACCAAAAATGTCCTTGAACTATTCGAAATAGCTCAAAAATATCCTCCGTTTATTTTTGGTACCAAATATATCCCAGCCGTCTATGTTTTGGACCACAAATGCCCCTAAACCGTTAGTCTTGCCATTGAAGCTGACATGACAGTCCAACTAGGTTAGATTTGCTTACATGACCATCCACCTAAGCAATCCAGCATGGCAAAATTATTTTTTCGAAAAAATTATTTTTTCGATTTTTTTTATTAAAATACAAAATCAACATTTATTCCCAAAAAAGTAAAAAAATATTTGGAAAATTTATTTATTTTGGATTTTTTTATTAAAATACAAAATCAACACTTATTCCGAAAATAGTAAAAAAAAAATATTTATTTATTAAAATATTATATATAATATACAAAATAAATTATTTTGGGGCGTGCTTTAATATATTGTTCCGGAATTTTTTTACTTTTTCGGAATAAGTGTTCGACCGTGAAATTTTTAAATTTCACTTAAAGTTAAATTTCGGCATTTTTGAAAATTTCAAAACTCCAAAAAATATAAGAACTTCGGATGAACAATTGATACTTACAGTATAGGTGTGCCTTTTGTGAAGCTATAATTGGTAAGTATCTAAAAATTAAGATAAAACTAATCAAAAATTCACAAAAGAGAACTATGAAGTTTTTTAATCAAATCATAAAGCCCAATCAAGAATAATGTTTTCGAATTTTTTTTACTATTTTCGGAATAAGTGTTGATTTTGTATTTTAATAAAAAAAAATCCGAAATAAATAATTTTTCTAAATATTTTTTACTTTTTCGGAATAAATGTTGATTTTGTATTTTAATAAAAATTTCCGGAAAAATAGTTTTTTCGAAAAAATAGTTTTGTCATGCTAGATTGCTTAGGTGGATGGCCATGTAAGCAAATCTAACCTAGTTGGACTGTCATGTCAGCTTCAATGACAAGACTAATTGTTTAGGGGTATTTGTGATCCAAAACATAGACGACATGGATATTTTTGGCACCGAAAACAAACATAGGATATTTTTAAACTATTTCGAATAGTTGAAGGACATTTTTGGCCCTTTTCCGGCCGGAAAAAGAAGGAAAAAAAACACTAAGCGGGTCAAGTGCTCCATGAACTAGAATTCGGGTCGGGTTCCACCCTCCAAAAGTTCTCCTTCACTTCGAATAAACCTTAGTTAAACCCTAATAAATGAAAAATCCTTGCTTTTCTCCCTTCCTCTGTAAAAGACGAAAGAGAACAGAAGACACCATTCATCGGTAAATTTCATTAGACTATTTGCTTCATGCTTGTTTAAACATGAATTAGCTACTTGCGTAATTGTGAAGATTTAGGAATTTTTGTCAGTAGCACGAAAATTATCACTGCACGCGATAATCTTTTGTAGAATAGATTCATATAATTGTGTGTTGAACAGATACATCAATGCGAAGGCGTTAAATAAATCCACACTAGTAACAAACTAGAGGTGAATCCAGGATTTGAACTTTATGAATTTGGAATGCCATTTTTTAGTCCTCTCCCTTAAAAAACGGAGCTGCTTGAAAGCAGATTTCGAAATTACATAGGTGAATGTTCGGTGTCCTACTCGAGACATTGTACTTGTCGTCACCAAACCAAAAGGGATGAGGGAAAAAGGCTAGAGAAAGAGTCCTTGGAAGGGGGAATATCGGAAAAATTGTTAGTGAATCCACCATTTGGGTTACTGGGTTCAAAATTTAATATTTGTACATATTTAGTAAATATTTTAATACATATAGGGTCTGAGCCAAACTACTGGGTTTGGCTCAATGCGTAGCTAATACTATACATCCGCTCCTTCTACAAATGCAGTAGATTCGTTGCCCACTTGACGTTGTCCTTACTTCGTACATGTAGTAGTAGTAGTGGTCAATGTGATCTAGCAGGTGAACTTACAGAAATGCTTATAGACGAGGTAGGCTAAGGGTAGTTTGCCGGCAAAAGGTGTGCGTATACACATATGGAGTCTAAGGTAGTGTTGTTGGGTAACACTAACATCCTGCCTATGGCAAGGCCCACAAGGGGGCTTGGGTGGCCCGAGTCGGAATCATGATCGAACATGGCGCTTGCTTGGTGGGCTTGGTTAAGAAATAAAGTTGCGCCCTTGCTATCAGCTATAACTTATGGCACAATGGTAAGCACTTGATCCTAACTAGTGTGTGCATTAACACTTGCTACACATATAGCAGATTCATTGTCCAGGGCATAAAGGGGTATGATGATTGGGCGTCATCCTTTAGCTGAATTTTTCTTAGCAGGTCTGCTGTATGCTTCTTAAACTGGATTCAGACCTGTAATAAGACTTCTTGTACACAAACATGTACACAACATCTAATTGAAGGCAGTGGGTGCAGTAGTGATTTCTAAACATACAGTAAATTCATTGCCCAGGACATAAGGGGTATTGCGATTGGAAAATGTCCTCACATTCCTCGATTTTTGTTTGGCTATACTGCTAAAGTTCTTTTAGCATATTTTGCCGTATGTTCCCTGTTTTTTTCATTGGGTTCAGACCTATAATTAGACTTTTTGATGTAAGTGTTGCTTTCTGTCTCACAGGTCCGTAAAGATGGGTTCCAATAACCTACCTACAACAGTTGACAAGGAGCAGGTTCTTTACTTTTGTGATGTGTTTATCATTTAGTCTTTGTTTATCTGTAAGGAAAAATGCTTTCTGTGTAATTTTCATACATTTGTTAGTAATTCCAGCTTCCAAATTTCAAAATATTTTCATTCTATGTAAGACGTTGAATGCAGAACTTTTCAAGCTAAAATGTTTCTGGTTCTTACACCCCCTCACCTCTTTCCTTATGTATGCAGATTTTTGGCATGGCCGAGAAGGAGATGGAGTACAGGGTTGAATCATTTAACAAGTAAGGTGTTCCACATTGTAACTGTTTCAATCATAAATCTTAACCTAATAGCACAAAAGAAATCTTAAGTAAAAAAAAACTAAAAGATTTGGTGATTATCCATATGATTCAGTTTTCCTTCTAATTCAGCTCCAGTATTGTTTCCTAGTTACTTCCATTGAAGGCATGTGTACAAAATTTCTGAATTTCCATACATTGATGTTTATTGTTGTGATCTAGGCTCACTCAGACATGCTTCAACAAGTGTGTCGATAGAAGGTACAAGGACCCTGAGCTAAATATTGGCGAAAATAGCTGCATTGATCGTTGTGTATCAAAATATTGGCAGGTAAATGATTCAATGATTTCATTCTAATACTTTTTTTGTTTCCTTTTGGTGGGATGATAAGTGATCTGGTTGCAGTTAAATGAGCTTTAATGTGGGGTGTGTTTGGTATGAAGGAACCAATTTTCCCATGTTTGGTTGGCTTAAATGTTATGGAACTCATTTTTCTCATGAACTCATTTTTCTCCAATTGGAGAAAAATGTTTTCCCTATCAAGAGAAGGGAAAACATTTTTCAAAACTCTTTTTTAACCTTCCCCGCCCTATTTCCCATCCCTTACCAACCCACCCACCCC